TATATATATATATATATATATATATATATTATATTTATATTAGCAGTGTCTGTGTCAGAAATCAGAACCAATGCTTTTTAGTATTTACCCCCTCATTTTACAATACACTGCTAATTTTGCGTGAAGAATAGGTTTATAGGCACATAATTTCCAAAGGACGTTTACTGTTTAAAAATAAACAAAACAAAAGGAAATATATATCATTTTGTCCTTTTGGTAAGTACCCGAAAATGATATTTATTCCATCTATTCTCTAAGTCCTAGCATTAGTTAGATAGTTAGGTACACCATTGCAATTTTGTTCCCTGTACCGCTAAGATTTTGTGACATCTTTCTCGTCTTGAATATCTGATTTTTCTTCATCATCTGATGAAACCACCGATTTGTGATGGAAGGTTTGCTGAATTTTCGTCACTCCCTTTTCCACAGGCCCTATTGCTTGATTTATTGTCAGTACAACATCCTTGACAACCTGGTTTTTGTTCATATACAAAATTAATAATTCCCATGACGGATAGGAAGGAAGGGGTTAACCATGATAATTAGTTCAAACTTATGTTATTGTTATGCAATGAACTTACTCGTTGACCACCTTCAACAACAATATCCTGGACGCTCTCTGTGACACTAGTTCTTGGAGCCTCAACTTTAGTAGTTATCTCTTCAACCACAGCTGGCTTCTTCTTCTTCCCTTCATCTATCTCCAGGGCTGCTTCTGTTGTTTCCTTTGTGACTTTTTCATATGCAGAAGGAAGAAAATGATATGGTTTTGCAGAAAATACAAACACATGAGCAACTGCTGCAATGGCCATCTGCATTACAAAGGACATGAAAGTAGTCTTGGATGAAAAGGAATTGAAAATATTCTAGGCCATGTTCATTTAAGACTAATTTCTGAAAAGTAGAAGAGTTTTGATGATGGTTTTAATAGGGACTGGGGTATTATGAGATGCCTAAGATCCTGCTTGGATATGGGTCTATAAGGATTTTTGAGAAATTCTCTAATAAATCTATACGAAATAAGGATTTGTGTGTAGTAAGCACCAAAAATTTGAGACTAAAAGTTAAACTTCTGTCTACAAAAGAAAGGTGGTTTACTTGATCCACCCAAAAATAAATGTATTGAAAAAATCAAGCTTGATTTTTCCATTCAATCATATCGCATTTTCCCAGCACACAGAAAATGGAGGAAATTTTTTAAGCTTTTAGAATAGAGAAAATAGAGGTATTAAGTATTCTAAAAGTCTGAGAAAAATTAAAGAAAAGTGTGCCTAAAAAAATTACTCAAAAATTGTGCAAAAGTGTGAGCACTTCTAACACACACACTTGAATACCTCTTGTTGATTGTTGAAATGTTTGGAAACAATTTTCTATGTAAAGAATATCAATAGTGGATTTGACTGGATTTAGAGGTGTATCTAAATCTGAAACTGGATGTAGGCCTTTGGATGGCTGAACCAGTATATATCTTGGTGCATGATTTTCTTAACTCTTACACTCTTTACATTCTGTATAAGTTTCTTGATTAATGTTGTATGAAGAAAAACATTATCTGCAGAAACTGAACTTTAAAGATTCTTGGTAATTGATAAATTCAATCTTTACATATCTTGTATTAATTGTGTTATTCAAATCTTGTTGGATAAGCTGTGCATATATAACTCTGAATTACTTTTTATGTTTAAAGGTTTGTTTTAAATCAAGATTTGTTTGGTAAAGATTTAGAAAGCAAACAAGAAAAGGAAAACTAACATAGAATCTATTCAACCCCCCCTTCTAGATTCTAACCGTAGGGACCAACAGACTTGGCACTTAGAGGTCTAAGAGTACAAATTAAACTATGGAGGGAGGTGATCTACAAAGAGCCACTTAATAACCAAGCCTCTTCAAGTAAAAATCTCTAAACCCCCTTGTACTTTTGTCTTGCACAAAACAATTTTCACAAAGATCTTTTCAAAAAAAGAAATAACAAACAAGTGCAGTCAAGACTTGAAATCATAAATTGCTTGAAAACATAAATGGTATGAAAACATAAATTGCTTGAAAACATAAATGGTATGAAAACATAAATTGCTTGAAAACATAAATGGTATGAAAACATAAATTGCTTGAAAACATAAATGGTATGAAAACATAAATTGCTTGAAAACTTAAATTTCTGAAAACATAAATTGCTTAAAACATAAATGACTTGAAAACTTAAAGACAAGAAAACATAAACTAGGCGTATAAGACTATAAACCTACGTGAGAGCTTGGAAAGTACCAAAGACTTCCAAGGACCTTTCTTACAAGCACTAAACATAATTACCTAATTGAAAACACTAAGGAGAGATGGAGTTACACCAAAGGCACTCCAAGACACTCCTAAAAAGGCCTTGTACAAGAAATGAAAGAAATGAAAATTAACAAGAAATGAAATGTAAATTTACACCAAATGAAATGCAAATTTACACCAAATGAAATGTAAATTCACACTAAATGTAATGTAGTGGCTGCACCAAATTTAAAGAAAACAAAATTTAGCCACCAAAAATAGTGACAAATTTAGAGACGGATTTTATAAGGAAAAATTTCGAGACAAAAAATTTTCGTCTCTAAACTAGTCGCTAGTTTTCACAAAATTTTCTCAAATGTTTTATTGTGTCCTTCCAAGCTTCTCCCAGCTGCAGCAACCTCTCCAAGTATATCTCTCCTCTCTTAGGAATAACCTTGATGTTGGTTAATCCTAGGTGTTTGATCTCCCACCAAGAGCTTTCCACCAAAGAGAATAGCAATCTCCTAGGCTTCCACAAACACTTCAAGATGCTACCCTTGTACTTGGCTTTCCACACCTTCAAAGAGGCACTCAAAACACCTTAAGTTTCTGGAGTTATATAGAAAAAAAAATGAAAAAGAACAATTAGAAAAGGCTGCACCAAATGGTAGAATTAAAGAGACAAAACTAGAAAGAGTTTCAATGAAAGACAAGCAATAATTAAGGCACCAATAAAGCAAGCACTCAAAGGAATCTCCTGCCAATGGCTCTAGAGTGGATTACAAAATTAAAAGCTAAGATTAAGAAATGAAAACAAGACACTAATCTCAAGTGTATAGGGCTGGACAATTTTAGAAACATGAAACAATAAGCAAAAACCGAGAGCAAAACAACACAAAATTTTCACTCCTTTTAGCTTTTTCTTTGGTTTCTTCTTTTGCAATTTTCTTTTGTATAATTTTCCTTTTCTTTTTCTTTCACACAACCAGGAGTTAATGCCTTTTGAACATTGTAGTATGAGTTTAAGCCTTCTAATTCTTCTTGAATTCCAACAGAAAATCATGCACAGTTTAAAGATGCTAACAGAATGGATCACTATCCCATCTTTTAGATAAACATAGAAACTATGAGCATGTTCGGATAAAAGTTTATAAACGCTTTTGAGAGTTTCTCTACCAAAAAGTACTCTTTATTTTTGATAGAAAACTTTCAAAAGTGTTTCTAACTTATATCTAAATATACTCTATCAGTCAAACTTAACTTCTTAAAATTTTTATGAGATATCTTAAAGGCAGTTAAGAAAAAGAACACAAGACTATAGCATAAAGAGGAACTACCTCTATGCAAATTAAGAAATCTTGCAATGCAGTTTGGAATTTTCCCTCCTTGGGTATCACTCCAAATGTACACAATACAGCGATACCAACACCTTGCCACCAAGTAGCAAACACAATAGCCTTGAAGCTGATGAACTTTGCAAGTGGCTTTATTGGTTGAAGGCTCTCGTGGGTAACATTATAGAACTGAACAAGACAGTATAATGCCCACATCTGGCTGAAGTTCAATACAACTGCTATGTATGGATACCTGAAAAATGTGGAAGACCATGATTATTATTGAAAAAAGTTGAGGATGCCTTTATCAACTATTAATCAATGAAAACAATTAATAGAGAATAAAAAAAACATGGTCAAAACATACAAGAGATATATCACTAATGATGTGAGACACAATGATAAACAAAATCTTGGATTCCACCTTGGTATAAAAATCATACCCGTAGTACCACTTGAATTCCCCATCACCATAAACACCTAACGGTTCCAATATAATCGCTAATAATGCACAAACTGTCTTCAGGATCATCTGCACTTCACCTGAGTGACATTAGAGTCGCTTTAGAACTAAAATGAACCCATATTAAGGAAAACTTCCATGACTTACATATTGAACAAGGCCAAATTTTTCTATTGTGAGAAGATCTTTTCCAAGCTTGCTTGGATGCCGAAAGAAGTTGCAAAATGATCTATGTTCTATGCCACGATTCTCATCTAAACCATCCAACAATGGTTTATTAAGGTGTTCTCCATATTGATCTTCAAGTAATTCTATAACCTTTGCTTCACCACCTAGCAGTTGGCATTTGAAGAATAAAATGAAATAAATTCATAGTTCTGACATTTAGCATCATGATATGCAGTCTGCTCTAAAACAGGACTACGTGCCCATTAAAGCAAAGCGAGAATTGAGCCAAAAAATGTTAAAGAAATTTAACATATTAAGCATGTGCATGTGTAGTCACACTGACTCGCACACCAACATTTTTACTCTAGGAGGGGCCTGGGGCCATAGATTTTCATAGAAGTCAATATAAGATCACATGTATAAGCTATTAACTTGCAAAGAAGAAGTGTTTCTATAAACCTTTTTTTCCCCAGTTCCAGAAGACCACAATGTTCATAACAGCTTGCATAGATAACATACGTAACTTTAATATTTAATTCCTAGATTTCTCAAATAGCCAAGACTAACTGAGATGAAGACTGGATGTGCATGGTATTAAAGCATCCCTAGCTATCTTCTCAAGACATTGAAGTTACTGCAAGTAGCTTACCAAGACAAGCAATCAGGTATCTGCCAAAAGAATACAGGGCAAAGGCTTCATAGTAGTTTCTTAAAATGTCACATGCTAGAGATAGTCTTGGATACCACAAAGAAATAATCTGGAATGACAGGGAGAGAGAAAACAAAAGCTAAGTTATGTTGATGTCACTACTTTGTAACATTAAATGTAGAATTTTGATCAAGACAGCAAAATGAAATATCCTTCTATCCACATAATTTAACAAGAGAGATGTAACTTGGGTTGAACATGCACCAGTGTGATTTATCAGGAAATTTCATAGATTTAGAGGAATAGAGTAAACCATGAGACTAAAAGTTTTCAATGTAAGTGATCTCCTAGACTTTCCATCCTCCCTTTTGGAGTGAAGAAAATTCATAATCCTTGAAGAAAAGTCATACTGATAGGAACATTATTAATTATAGATCTGATAAAGAAAACTCAGAAAAAGCACTGATTACAAGAGAATTTCACTGCTGAAATGTAATTGAGAAGGAAACCTTCATCTCCCATTCCACTCCCTCACCTGTCTTGTTTAATAGGACTTTAGAGTAAAACAGAACTTTTCACATCATCTCATATACTGCCCCTATTCCTGTTCTTCTACGACACTCTCATGGGAGGGTTCATCAGGGGCCTCATGTTTAACCAAACTAATCATGCTATAGTGAGCTGTACAAAACAAGCTTACCATTGATCTTACGGGATTGTAATAATGAATTACAACCTATCTTAATAATCATCCTATATGAATGACCTTATCATTGATGTATTAGTTTTTTTTTTTTTAATAGAATGATGAAACTAGTATTTTTGCTTAACAGGATTGCTAGTTGGTTTATCAGAGGTGATGTAAGGTAATATGTGTGCAAGAGAGAGTAACATTACATTTAATTAATTAACCTAAATGCATTAAGCTGAAGCAGTACACTCATCAAATAGCCTAGTGAGGTATGTAGACATGGTTGATGCAAAAGCAGGACCAAGAATACCCATACAGTATAAATAAATAACAATAACAATAGCCTTATTCCATTAGGTGAAATATGGTATATAGATCACACATCACCATTGAGCTCGGTTAAAATCCAAATTTGATTAATTCTATGATCCCCTTACCGTAATACATAAGGGGTGAAAAAACTCGAGGACAACTGGACAGGCCTATCAGTTTAGTACCATGTATCCTAAAGCAGCCTCAAAACAATTCAAAACTAGATGTATTTGTTTCTTTACGTCACTAATCCAACAATGCTGAAAAGAAGTCAGAATGTGTTTCGCATAGTAATAGAAACTTACAGAATCGGTGGCATAGACAGGGACTGTTGAAATAACAGCAACAATCCACTTTTGTTCCTGAATGCAAACCAATTTCGGGTTAGCCAAAGTTGTTACTAACTCCTTAAAGATTTCATTCAAGCTAAAAGGTTGCAACTTGAATGTGTGAAAGTGCACAACATGTGTTATTTTCTCCATTTCTCTCAGACAACAACAAGTAATAATTGAAGGCACTATATATCTGTCTGGTCATGAAAAATCATGATTATAAGTAAATACATTTTGAAATACGAACTTCATTAAATAAATTTTCAATGAACAAGCATCATAGAACAAAGCTCATGTCATGGCATATAAAAGGCCAACGAAAAAATAAAATCAACTTGACTGATTATATAGCTATGAGGAAAACAACTCACTGCAGGATTGGTATAAGATTGAAGATGTTGAAAAATGAGAAGACTGGAGAGAACTAGAGCTACAAGCACAGAACACCCTGCAAATATAAGAGTAGGTGGGCGAAGAATTCTATATATTCCTTCAAAGTTTGAGAAATGATCTGGTGCCATTCTTCAAGCATCTTCTCTCCAAACACTTGAGAATTTGTGCAGGTCAATGGGCATGTATGAAAGCTTGTCCTATTGGTGTGAATGATCATGATCAAACCAAAGAACGCAAACGCAACATTCATCAGTGCAAGAAACACACGTTCATGATCTCAATAACAACCATTCAAAAATTAATCATATGTATTTCTCATTCATTAATTGCTCCCTCGTTCATGTTTATTAGAATTAAGTTAATGTCACTTCAAGAATCGATCTCATATATCAATACCAAAACCGTATCATTGTGCTAAAGAAACACACGTGCCTACAAATAGAATTTTACATTTCTACTCTGATAAATGATAAAAACTGAAATTCATGTTCTCAGTGTAACAAATGGAATTCAATTAACGCAATAAAAACACGATCAAAGAATCAATTACCATTACCACATAAAGAAAGGAATCCATGAAGCTAAACATATCAGAAAAAGAAGTAACTGATGAACCTATTGAAAATGTTACTAAACTCGTAACATGTTTTAACAAAACGTTGGAAGAGCAACAAAACAAGCGTGCCATGTCTAACAAGGGATCTTTACACGATTGCGCAACGATTTGACACGTTTTGCTATGTCACTTTAAAAAAGGACACGTGTAGCTTCATTATGAAATCCATTTCATGTCTACCTAACGGATCCTTACATTTTTGCACCCATCATTTTAATTTGTTTTCATCTCTTTATGAGCCAATTCAAAAATATTTAAATAATGATACAAAAATCGCATTGAATATAAAATTTCCATAAATACATTTATATTATTTTCATTTTTATCACTAATTTATAAATAAATTTTATTTTAAAAAAATTATATTAATATTTTTTCATAATTTTTTTTGTTTTCATTATATTTGAACGAAAATTTTAATAATATTATTTTTAAGTTCTAACATAAAAATTAAATAATATTAAAAGATCATGTAAAATTATTTCACTTTTATTTATTTTTATAAATTCTAAAATTTAAGAAAAATAAAAATCAAATTGATTGAAAACTACAACTTGCAAAGAAAAAGAAGATGAAAAATGTGAGGTGTATTGAGTCTTTAGAAATAAGAAATATTGATTGTTGAAAATCAACGTTAATATTATGTGTACATGCAAAAGAAATTATGAAATTACTTGTTTTCTTTTACCCATTTTAAAGAAGTTAAATTCGTGTATAAAGAAAGCATATACAATAAATCAAATAAATATCGAATTATTATTGATGGATTAAAATTAATTATTTTTGCAAACATTAAAATTTCATTAAAAAAAATTAAAGAATGATCCATTTAATAAAAATTATCCGATACATCGATTAATAGTTCCTTTTATGAATAAATACTCAATTTATTTATAAAATTATTTTTTAAAATAAAAAATACTCTAGATAGATGAGCTAAAGATACTTAAATCAAAATTAAAAAGGTCAAGTTTAATATATTTTGGTTGAGTTTAAATACTATGACCGTGATAAAAGTATTTTGGTTAAGACTAAATTAAGAACTAGATTCAAGACTCATTTAAAAATAGTATGTTTGAGATTGAGGATGATGCTTTGATTGAGGACTACAAGAAAACTTTATTGAGACTAATGTGAAGATATTTTAGTTGAGACTATAATAAAAATATTTCGGTCAAGATCAAATTAAGATACTTTGGTTGAAGTTGAATTGAAGATATTCTAGCTGAGGCTAAGCTAAAAATACTCTAGCAAAGATTGAATTAAAGATAGTTTAATCATGGTTGAACTAAAAATACTCTAGCTAAGACTAAGAAAAAAAATACTCTGGTTGGGACCAAGCTAAACATACTCTAGTTGAGGTCGAGTTAAAGATACTTTATCTAAGATTGAGTTGAAGATACTATAGTTGAGGACATATTAAAGATAAAATAATGGAATAAACTTAGTAAGTAGATTAATATCATCAAAAGTTTCTTGAAAAAATTCCATTTCAATCCATCATACTCTTTTCCCCACTAGTGCAAAATCGAGTTAAAAAATCAAGCTTTAAAATCAATTACACCGAAACTGTGATGGAAAACTTGTTGAGAAACCGGATTGATGTTGATTCCTCTTCAAGTTCCTCCCTAGACCTTTGGCTCCTTGATTCTTCTTAAGCTTCTCTAAGGTCTCCAATGGAGGAAGAGACCCTAGAACCACCACGGTTTGGTGGGGAACTCTCTCAAGAGACGCCACTCCTTGGTGAAGAGATAAGTCTCTTCAATTCTCACCACACTCTTCTATGGAAGGGATAAGAGAATTGAATGAATATCAAAGAGGTTAAGGACTTTTTGAAGAGAGAATTTTCGTGCAAATTCTGATCTCACTCAAAAATATCATCCAAAAGTGTCTTACAATGAAAGGAAAACAAGTATATAGGAGTAGGAAGCTTGGAGAGCAAGCTAGCCTTAACCATGGTTCACTAGGAACCATGGTAAGGTCTAGCTAACCATCCATGGTCTAGAGGCTTGGAGAGCAAGCTACTCACTTAGCTTGCTTGGTAAGCAAGCTAAGGAGAAACTTGTGCTTCAAGCTTCTAAGCTTGAGAGAAAACTGGCCATGTGAACATAAGACAAGGTGGGCGGCTCATGGACTTCATTTTACTCCAACCGGTTTTGAAAAATGTTGATTTGGTATAGTTAGGTTCATCCAATGTGAATGGAACCTAGCTAAATCAAATCTATGAAAAATTAGGAGTAAAATGAGTCTAATCTGTAAAATTTAGCCTAGGTTCATCTCTTGGTCCAATTGCTAGTAACATTCTCTAGCTTGCTAATGCCACTCCCAATCCTACTATTAGAAAAATAAGAAAAGAGTGTATTTCTAGATTAGGTTAAATGGAGTCAAAGTGCCCAAGTAATCTACCCTAGAAACAATATACAATAGCTAATAAAAGGAAATAAAGTACCTCTCAAATACAAAGGCAAAAATACACCTATACAAGTATCTACTATATACAAGGTACAAGAAATCAAACTATACAATGTATTTACAATAGAGACTCCTTAGATCAACCTTCACCCTTCTTGGTCTTACCTCTTCCAAAGGGATCTTTGGGAATTAGATTTCCATCAAACTGATTATTGTAAATAGAATCACCACTTTCAAAATCAGTTCATGTATAACATATTTTGTATGTGAATATAAAGTTGGTTTTTTGGGATAATCGATTTTGTATGTCTGACATACAAGATCAATTACCTAGAATCGATTTTGTATATCACATACAAAATTGGTTATTACAATAATTGATTCCATATATCTTTGTTACTTTTCCTGATGGGATTCATTTGTGGATGTTCTCTTGTTTTCAACTTCTCTCGTGCCTTTGGGTATTCCCAAAAATATTTGTTCCACATCGTCTCATGCTTGGTGGAAGGAGGATAAGAAGAGAAACCAAAACCTCAATGTCGTAGGTTTTCTCAAAGACAAACTTCAACAATGTTGTCATGCCCTCGTTAAGTCATTGTGTGGCGGGGGTTTTTAGCCCATGTCAATAAGGGGTAACAATTTGGGGGAGGGGGTTGGTGGCATGGTTCTCTTAGAGCTCCTAGAATGGGATTTGTTATTGCTACGAGTCAACAGTCAAAGGCATGATGGTTAGAACCTTTGTTTTCTTACCTTTTGTGTGTCTTGTAAGATTTGTAAAACACACAAAGACATGGCCATTGTAGAGGTCACTACCTTTGATGGGAACGACGACATTGCCACACAACAAGCTTCATAGAGAACCAATTGCTTTATTGTTTTGTTGTTTTGTTATGTTTTGTTGATGAGGAGGTTGCAAAGGTGAGGCGTTGAGGTTGGCTTAGGGACACATACAAAATCATATGTTTACAACAGATTTTGTATGTGACTTTTAAAATTGGTTGAGATTCAATTTTAAAAGTACGACCTTACAAAATTGGTTTCTTTATTAAAATTGGTCTCGCGACCAATTTTTAAGGCTAAAATTAATAGATTTTAAAGGAGAATTTTGCACTAGCATATGGTTAATTTATTAGTTATCCCACCCACTCTATTCTTCCTATTTGTAACATCTCACTTTTTCATAATCAATTAATGAAATATTGTTTTAATTAATTAATCAGAGAAATGTTATATTCTGAGTGATATTTTAAAATAACAGTAATTATTATTTACTTGCTTATTTTCAAAACAATGAGGAATAATTATTAATCTTTTGCCAATTGACTACACATGGGTTAGGGTTAGTGTTTCTTATAAATGCATTAGTAGAGCTTGGGTTGGCTCACTTCACAAATTAACATGTGTGTTTTGTGATCTAAAAAGGAGGACGAACTTGAGGTAGCTGAGGAAGAGCTCGGAGATTTGAACCAAGATTTTAGCGTCCATTAGGGTAATGGGGAGTGAGAACCTCGCTTCGGTTGTAGGGTAATTGTTGGATAGCAGGATTAAAACCTTAATTTTGTTGTTTGTGATTGAATGGCTTGAATGTAGTTATGATTTGATTCAAAAATTCCCTTGCAATTATAAGAGTAAATTATGGATATTTGATCTATGTTGTAAATATATACTTATTGTATGTTCTAAATGTGTTTGTGGTTCATGATTTCATTTCTGATTCCCTAGTATTGCCTATTTTTTGAATCTATGACTACTTGTAGGTTTTTAGGGAAAACCCTAAGAATGAAAATACAAAAACAAATTATTAGAGAAATAATTAGTAGGAAATCCTTAGAGTAGAAAGAATTAATTAAACTTTAGATACCCTTGACTTTATATGAATTCATGTAACGTGATGAACTAAATAATATATGTATAATTCACATTTATGCATAGTTTCATGTTATTGATATTGTAATGGACCATGGGCCAAAGGCCTAATCACTAGAGCTATGGCCAGGAGCATACAAGAAGAGTTGGACAACTTGAAGACTAGTGGACTTTCTAAGCCCAATGTACTCTTCATTTGGACTACTCTATCATGAAGAGAAGGCATAGTTCTAATTGTATATAATTTGTACATATTTTCCTTGTATAGGCTTATTTTGCCTTTGTATTTGTGAGACACTTTATTTCATTTTGTAGATCATTGTATATTGTTTTTAGGGTAGGTTACTTGGAGACTTTTACTCCATTCAACCTAATTTTGAAGTACACTCATTTTCCATTTTTTTAGTAGTAGAAGTGGGGTGGCATTTAGCAATGTTTGAAGGTGTGACTAGTAATTGGGACAGAATTGGACCTAGGAAAAATTTTACATATTGGACTCATTTTGCTCCTAATTTTTCATAGATTTGATTTAGCTAGGTTTCATCATTTTTGGATGAACCTAACTAAACCAAATCAAACATTTTTGAGATAATCAAAGTGAGCAAAATGGACCTTTGGCCGCCTACCTTGCCTAGTCTACTTTCCTTGGCCGAATTTCTTTTCTACCTTCAAAGCTTTGAGAAGCTTGTGCTACAAGTTTCTCCTTAGCTTGCTTCCCAAGCAAGCTACGTGAGAAGCTTGCTCCACAAGCTTCTTAACTAGCTTGGAAGGTCAAGCAATTCAACCATGATTCCTAGTGAATCATGGTTAAGGTTAGCTTGCTCCGTAAGCTACCTCCTTCTATATATTTCTAACTCTAAATCTTTCTCTCACTTTTGACATATATGAGAATAATAATTAAGAAATTCTCTCTCAATCAAAAGTCAAAATCCGTGGAGAATCTCCTTCTCCTACAATGATTCACAAAGGAACTTCTCTTTTGTGCTTGGTTCCTCAAGTTTCTCTCCTTCAAGAGAAACCGAACCACCTTTGGTTGTTCCTTCAAGCTTTGAAGCTTGAACCTCCATTCAACCTCCATTGAAGTGAAGAACCTCAAGAGAAGAAGGGACTTGGACGGTTCAACTTGAAGAACATCAATCTCCTTCAAGTAGTTCCATCATTTTTGGTATCTAGAGCCTTGGTGCTCTTGAGGTTATGTGCCTCTTTTCCTTACCTTGAATCCATGTTGTTTCTTCCTTGTTCTATTTCAAATATTTGTTTGTTGTTTGGATCTAGATTTAATTCATACTTTGATGGATCCTATATGTCACATGAGAGTTAATTGATTCATGTTTTGCTTGTTCCTAATTCCTTGAATCGATTCGGTTTGTGCTTTAGGTTTCCTATACTTGTGCGTTTTTATTTTTGTTTTTTATGGTTTGTATGTTGTTATTCTTGTGCCTACTTATATGTGCTTTTGTTTTACATATTTGAGTTCCTAATTTTCTATTAGTTCTAGCAAATTTCTTAGAGTTAGGTTTCCATTATGTTTCCTTAAAAAGTTTGTCAAGAATTTTTTCTAAAACACTTTCCTATTAGGTTTTCCTTGAATCTCTTGTGTGGCTGAAACTTGTGCTTATTTTTTAAGCTTTTAGAATAGAGAAAATAGAGGTATTAAGTATTCTAAAAGTCTGAGAAAAATTAAAGAAAAGTGTGCCTAAAAAAATTACTCAAAAATTGTGCAAAAGTGTGAGCACTTCTAACACACACACTTGAATACCTCTTGTTGATTGTTGAAATGTTTGGAAACAATTTTCTTTATTAAAGCCGAGACTTCTACAATGTTCAAAAGGCATTAACTCCTGGTTGTGTGAAAGAAAAAGAAAAGGAAAATTATACAAAAGAAAATTGCAAAAGAAGAAACCAAAGAAAAAGCTAAAAGGAGTGAAAATTTTGTGTTGTTTTGCTCTCGGTTTTTGCTTATTGTTTCATGTTTCTAAAATTGTCCAGCCCTATACACTTGAGATTAGTGTCTTGTTTTCATTTCTTAATCTTAGCTTTTAATTTTGTAATCCACTCTAGAGCCATTGGCAGGAGATTCCTTTGAGTGCTTGCTTTATTGGTGCCTTAATTATTGCTTGTCTTTCATTGAAACTCTTTCTAGTTTTGTCTCTTTAATTCTACCATTTGGTGCAGCCTTTTCTAATTGTTCTTTTTCATTTTTTTTTCTATATAACTCCAGAAACTTAAGGTGTTTTGAGTGCCTCTTTGAAGGTGTGGAAAGCCAAGTACAAGGGTAGCATCTTGAAGTGTTTGTGGAAGCCTAGGAGATTGCTATTCTCTTTGGTGGAAAGCTCTTGGTGGGAGATCAAACACCTAGGATTAACCAACATCAAGGTTATTCCTAAGAGAGGAGAGATATACTTGGAGAGGTTGCTGCAGCTGGGAGAAGCTTGGAAGGACACAATAAAACATTTGAGAAAATTTTGTGAAAACTAGCGACTAGTTTAGAGACGAAAATTTTTTGTCTCGAAATTTTTCCTTATAAAATCCGTCTCTAAATTTGTCACTATTTTTGGTGGCTAAATTTTGTTTTCTTTAAATTTGGTGCAGCCACTACATTACATTTAGTGTGAATTTACATTTCATTTCTTGTTAATTTTCATTTCTTTCATTTCTTGTACAAGGCCTTTTTAGGAGTGTCTTGGAGTGCCTTTGGTGTAACTCCATCTCTCCTTAGTGTTTTCAATTAGGTAATTATGTTTAGTGCTTGTAAGAAAGGTCCTTGGAAGTCTTTGGTACTTTCCAAGCTCTCACGTAGGTTTATAGTCTTATACGCCTAGTTTATGTTTTCTTGTCTTTAAGTTTTCAAGTCATTTATGTTTTAAGCAATTTATGTTTTCAGAAATTTAAGTTTTCAAGCAATTTATGTTTTCATACCATTTATGTTTTCAAGCAATTTATGTTTTCATACCATTTATGTTTTCAAGCAATTTATGATTTCAAGTCTTGACTGCACTTGTTTGTTATTTCTTTTTTTGAAAAGATCTTTGTGAAAATTGTTTTGTGCAAGACAAAAGTACAAGGGGGTTTAGAGATTTTTACTTGAAGAGGCTTGGTTATTAACTGGCTTTTTGTAGATCACCTCCCTCCATAGTTTAATTTGTACTCTTAGACCTC